CTCTAGAACCTTCTAACATTTGGAAAGCAGTGAAAGCAGCTATCTCAAATTCCTGATGGTAAAACAAATGTGTACACGAACGCAAAGAATGTGTGTCATAGAAATACAAAGCAATACAGGCTGAGAGTTGTGTAAGTATCATAAAACAGATTTAAGACAAGCATCTTAGATTCTTTCCACCTGTAGATTCATCTGCAACCAATACTGAAGGGCAAAACTAGCACTGCATTTACACAACCTTTCACAGTCCCGATTCAGCTAGTGTGTGAAACTTAACTTGCCAAGGCCATTAGGCAACATAAGCCACTACTTCCGCACCCACAGCTCCTCTTGCGATACTACTTTCTGTATAGACAGTTCAGCCAGCACTGAAGTCTAAAGGACATGCATCAGTTATAATATTAAATATATCTTAAATATCACCATGTCATTTGTTACATGTTGCAGACTGGACTCTCTGTTTAAAGGGAGGGTCCAAATTCCCTGCTAGCGACTCATTTTTAAAAAATGTTTGTAGAGGCAGTCCATATTGATTTTTTTTTTCTGTTTTTTGTTTTTGTTTTTTTACACCTGTGGCAATTTAAGCATTTTAGGTGGGCAATGTAAAAAAATAAATCAAATACCAAGAATAACTTAATCAAATCACCTGATTTTTATCCTAATCTAACTAATAAACTTGAAATGAATAGATGAAAAGAGCTACATCCAGGCCTTGTCCCGTGCCTGATAATGTCCAGCAGTGACTCAGTATGTCCTCCAATCCCTTTGAAACCTTAATCCAACTTGGCAAAAAAAAAAATGAGTAAAGACAAAGCTAAAAATTATAATTACAATTTGTAATTCCTGTGGCATCTCAGAATTTCTAAATCTCTAAATCTCTTTTTTTTTCTTTTTCATAGTAAAAGATGACCTTTGTCCTCCTCCGCTGTGCTTGGCAGAGGTTAGACATACACCTGTTGTCTAGCTCAGACTTTTTTGCTGTTTCAAATAGTTTTTGCAATCACAGAGGTGACAAAAAAAGTGCCTCTATACTTTCCATCAGTACCCAAGTGTTCAGCATTTACTGTCAACACTATAATTTACGTACTTTCATAAATGATAGTTAATTCTTTTCCCCCCCAATGTCCTTGATTCACATCTTGTTGCAGGGTAGAATAGACTGATGTCTAAGCCTAAGTAAATTACCTTTTTAATGGCATTTCCATTGCATAAACTTTCTGATGATAAATGAGTCATCACACAAAGTTAATTACATTTATTTTTGCAGAATTGCACCAGACAAGTGAGTCTGTACAGATGAAAATATGATGGAATGCGGTCTCTGCAGCGTCAACGATTCTTGTGCTTACTAGACGATCTATAAAACAGAAAACGTTCAAATTGGTTAAGCATTGCAACCTTAGAGATATAACGATAAATGAATTCTATAAAACATTTTTAGTTGTAATAATTTCATAAATATCTCTGATAATAAAATCATTTTATACTAACAGTGTTTATCCAGTTAATGAAAGCGGAGACACGGGTGAAGACAGTAGGCTTCTGATAAGTATCGCATCCCAGACCAGACACGAAGCTGGCAATACCGTGCACGTAGTATTTTCCACCATTCAAGCAGTTAAGAGGGCCACCAGAGTCACCCTGGGAAAAAAAAAGATTTATTATTTTAATTATGTAAAATGATCCTGTATTTCTTTCTGGCAGCATAGTTTTCTTCTTGTTTTGTAGGATGAAACTCACATTGCATCCAGCCTCTTTTCCATCACCACCGCACACCATGTTGTTATTCACAGTGCTGCCCCACCAGCTAGGGCTGGAGCAGGTCTGATAGTCCACCACAGGAAGGTAGGCCTGCTTAAGCACAGGAGACAGGCTACCACCGGCTGGACAAAATAAAATGGTAAGGTACATTAGTCTTTACAGAAGACACCCAGTTATGACAGTGATATTGACAGGAGATCAAACAGACAACTCACTGGCAGTGCGCCCCCATCCTGTGATGTAGCAGGGGTTGTTGTTGGGCAGAATCTGGCCAGAGGGAGGCAGAGAGCCCAGCTGGACATAATTGTTCAGGGTGGCGTCTGAGGCCAGTTTCAGCAGAGCGATATCATTCCTAAGGTAGAGAGTTAACAAAATTTGTTTTGTAAAGCCTCTAAAATTGTCTAAATTGTCTAACTCCAACCAAAATAGTTCTGGGAGGCGAATTTTGTTCATATCCTTGACCCACCACATCCATAATGTAACATTCAGACCCCAAATCAACACATTTGCCAAACATAATATTACTTAAAAAGGTAATAAATAGCTACAAACAAACAATTTTAAAAATGCTTAGGAATACAAGACATAAAGGTACTTCTCACCCCTGAGACAGTTTGTTAGCATCCCATTGGGGGTGGACATAAATGGCACTGACAGCTATGATCTGCTCTCTGCCACTGTTGCTGTTGAGGTCATGTTCACCAAGAATGACACGGAAGGTCCGGGGGCTGCAATGTTTCAGAAACATCCACAAACAAACACAACATTGTTAGCAATCAATAAGTTGGATTTCACTGCATTATACTCTTGTTTATGTTTGATTCATGTTGTTTGTTTTTCTTTTAAATCAATAAGCTAATTTTCTTTCAATGTGGCAGTTACAAATGAGGTTGTAAGATTTTTCCTCATGCTGGTGGCTTTATGAAACACGGAAATAAATCATAACTAAGTATTCGGTTAGAAGTAACCCATTGACTTTCAAGTCAGGGGTTGAATTTCATTTTACCCTCTATTGTAGAGGAGTTTATATTGGTTTTGAGGACCCTTGTTGGTTTTCTTTAGTTTTACTATGTCCATTGTTAAACCAGTTTTTTATGTTTGTTTGTTTAAATTTTCTGCCTTAATATTCTGTGAATTTTTTTTTCTGTTTTTGCATTTAGGGTGTGGATACTGTTTTTATTTCTACAATCTAGTCTGACCCTGCTTCTTTTTAGGTCGCTGGTTTCTGTCTCCTTTATGCTTTCATAGGGATTAGTTTAGTTCTTTGTGTTTCCAGACTTCTAAGATTTCTGTCATCATCCTCTCTCTCTTGAGTTTATATGTCAGTCTCTTTTTATTTTCCTATCCTGTAGTTGTTGTCAGGTCTTTGCATTTAGGTTACGATTAGTCCCCTTTGGTTATGTCTTGTTTTATCCTTTGTAGGTTTATTTTCTTTCCTATTTCAGTTTTACTTCCTGTCTGTATCCCTTTAACCCCCTTAATTGTGTTCAGTTTTTATCGTGTTCAACTGCCTCCCATTCCCCAACAATGTGTCTTTTCACCAGTCACCCCTCTGTATACTTATAGCCTATCATCCCTACTCATTTCTACCAGCTGCTGGATTTATGATTGTTCTTTTTTCTGGAGTTCATCAGCCAAAATAAACCCCTTGCCTTTTGTTTTTCAAGCCTACCTCCAGCGCCTTGCATTTGGGTCCTCTTCAGCACTTCTTCATGATAAATGACATAATAAGCCCAAATAAAACTAAAACTCCTACAGCCAAAGAATACTGCGTGAGCCTGTAGTTCATCATTTTGTTACCTGTCCACACAGTGAGCAGCAGTCATAACCCAGCCTCTCTGGATCAGAGTTCCTCCACATGTGTGGTAGTAGGAGCCGCCAGATAGGTACTGAAGAGAGATCTAAGGGAGAAACAGAAATCTCTGTGTAAAAACATTGAAGCTTAATTAAAGTTTAATTTAACAATCTGATATTTTGGCTCTGAACGACCACATGCTTTCATTTTTATTGTGAAAATCAATTGAATGTGTCATACTGGGTTACCTGCCAGGGCCAGGAGTTGGGTGCAGCCACCTCACCTCCTACAACCCTTTGATCAATGTTCATCAGATACTTGGGCTCGGCCAGCACTAGTTAAAAAAATAATGATCAGTTTATACACATTAACAGAAATCTGAAAATGTTATTTGCTTTCATCTTTCGGGAAAAGGAAAAATGATCGTCGCTAAAAGAGTGACTGAGTGAATGTACGGACGGTACAGGGCACGACAGAGAGTATGAGAATAAAACGAGACAGACGGATCAATAATGAATGGTTATATAGCACAATGTCTGCTGTCATTTTCTTACCCAAGGCTGCAAGACTTGTCAACACCAAAAACCTGAGCATGTTTGCAGTCTCAAAACGTCTGTGCAGGAACCAGTGCTGCTTTCCTTCTTTTATACCTGAACTTGACCTTCAGCTGATGTGGAAAAATGTGACTGGTCTTTCCCCTGTGACAAAACCCAGGTGTGTACCTGTGGTCTGTGTCACACAGCGCTATCACAGCCAGTTAAAAAAAACATCCCCTGCTTTGGTCAGTTGAATGTGGTCCAAAATGAACAATGTCACATGGATTGACAGTTTTATTGCTGGATAAAATGAGTCACAGTGGTTCGGAGCAGTTAAAAGGAATACATTTATAAATGTATTCTCGCTAATAGTGCGCACCACACTTATTTTGGGCAACAGCTTACAGAAAAGATATTTTCTCAAAATACTTTTGTCAGAAAAGGAGTGTAAGAATGATTCATTCTGTAAATAATGACAATAAATCATATCATAATGTCATCATATCAGATATGTATGACAGATACGTATGAAAACCTACACTGTTACCTCTCACCCAATGTCCTCAATGATTTATTAAATACAGATCATTCCCATTACAGTGCAGCATGAAATCTTAAAATAAAGTGCCTGATGTAAGAGAGGGCAAGATCTTGTGAAGACTTACATCAGAGCATAATCACATGTCCATTTGAACCAGCATGAATTATCAAGTGAGCATGGGAAAGCAAACGGCTGTGGCATCAATGGTGTAATGGCATATTCCAAAAGTACACATTAAAATGGAAAACAGGTTCACTTTTTATCTTCTAGTGTCTACAATCACCTAGACAGTATGACTGACCATGTTAGTCTCTGGAAAGTAAATCTTTTGTTATATTTTACAGTATGTTTTACAACTGTCCCATCTGGTCTGTATATTAATTAAAGAGAATATTTCTAAAGTTATTTCTAAAGAAATATAAAGAAATGAAGGATAAAGAAGACAATAATTCGTATTGTTGTTATTCATGCCTAATTTAGTTTTTTGGGTTTGTTTTTTTTTGTTGAAGCTGTTTCAATAAAACTGAACTGAAACGAAGCTAAAGGAATACTTGAGTGTGATGTCTAGATGGTACCAATTATTTACTAATGTCAAACTAAATGTAATATTAAAAAGGTAATTTAATTTTGTTTGTAGTATAAAGAGTCATTCATGATTCAGAGCAAGGTAAGCGTATACATTATTTTATAGATACAGTAGAAATATGAACTGTAAAGCTAATTGAAAACAGGACAATATTATGGGCTAACACTAGAGGGGACTAAAGACTAACAAACACTTGGCATCTCTACAAAAGGACACACACATTCCTGGTCATACAGACAGATGACAGATGTGGTCCTGATTTTGCTTTGAAAACCTCAAATATTCATGCAGGTCGATTTTAAATTCAGTCTGTAGTGTAGTGCTAATGCTACTACTGAGATTTTTTAAGAGTTCTCTCCATTCCTAACTCTGTGTTTAAATCCAGTGTGAGAACTGAGGTAAAAGTGATTTCTCTCCCTCAGTTCATCATAACCCCTCTGACATTGAACATTAGAATCACAGATGGATTACTTGATGATTTATGCACAGTAAGTCTCTAAGTAAAATACATATAATTATACTTTTAAAAGCCTTTTACTTGTTCTGAACTAGTCACGCTGATAGCGCCAACAGTAGCTTACTGAACAATGGGAATGCCTCTGATGTGTCCATATTTTATAAAACAGTCCTTAATTAGACAGAAAGTCATTAAAACTGTATGGATTTTGGATTATTGTCTTATCAGGCTATTAAAGAGATAGCTGTGCTGCCTAGTAATTGAGCTGCCCCCCTGACACACAGGGGAAAGGTCCTAATGCTGTAGGACTTCCTGACCAACAGAGGCTCCACAGTTTCATTATTTTCTCCTCGTCCTTTTCAAACTTCTTGTGTACTCCTCCACCACCCCAACCTTTTCTTGCAGAGGCATAAATCAAACGAGGAGATCAAAGACAGGAAGTACTGGGGATGTGTTAATTAAAGATGTTTGTTCTTGATACAGCTTCCCTCATTAATGAACAGTCGATTTGGTTCCCATAAAGATGTCTCACATACACGAGCAGGAAATTGAGGTTTGGAAAAAAAGATGGATGAGATGCACTGATTGTGTGTTGGGTGTGTGATAGAAAGTTGGGGAGGGCTATCACCCAGAGTAAATGTTGATTATGCCAATGTGACACTATTTAAAAAACTCTTGCCAGACTGGAGCTGACAGATTTAAACATCATTTAAATAGGAAACCACTAGCGTTACTACAACCAAATACAGTTACTCATTCCATGATGTTCTGATATTCGGTTATTACTTACCATTGGATAATGAATTTCTGTGAGGAAAGTGAGGCAATACAGTGTGTGACACAGACAACTCAGACATTTTAAGAGCTATATAAAGTAGTTTAAGGTAAATCCAAATAAGCATGAGTACAAAAGTTGCCATTACACATACTTATGACAGTCTGGTGCTGAAATATTTGATTTGTATTCCATCTTTTTGTTTCCTACGGTCCATCATTTTCCTGTGAATTTAAAGCTGTATTTTTGTTTCTTTTTTTATTTAATCAATTTGCACTAGTAGAGCACATGGCAAACACAGCACTGAACATATAAAAAAAGAATAAAACAAAAAAATGTGAATTTCTTGTAAATGAAGTTCTTGAAAGTACAATTACAAAAAAAACCTCCAAAACTTATGAAGAGTGGCTTGTAAGGGGTGAAAACCTTTCTCTCTAAAAAGAACACAGCAGCCTGGCTTAGGTTTGCATGTCCTTTCAGTATAGTGGAGACTGAGAATAAGAATAAAAATAAAAATAAGAGTAAGACTAGAGTGTGGATGTTTGCCCATCATGCACAACACCACTTCTGACAAAAACAAAGCATGTTCATACAAACACCTCTTACCAACTGTCAAGCACGATGGTGGCGGGATGATGATGATTTGGGCTTGTTTTTCAGTAACAGTATAACAAAGTATCCTAGAGCCAGGAGTGAGGCTGTAATCCAACAGCTAAAGCTTTACCAATATTGTATTATGTAACAAAACAGCAATCCCAAGCAGCAACAAATGTATAGCTGAATGACTGAAAAACAATCAAGATGCTGCAAAGACCCCATCAGTAAATACCTTAAAATGGTCCTGAAGAGAGCTGTGGATTAATGCCCACAAACCTTAATGAAGTGAAACAACATTGTGAAGAAGACTGGGTCTAAATTCATATTCGTAATCATAGGGAAAAAGATTATTTCAAGTTATTGCTGCTAAAGATGGTTTTACAAGTTACTGATTCATTAGGTGTGTGTAGTGTTTTGTTTTTTTACAGAACTGTACACAATCCTGTGAAAACTGCAGGAGCAGACAAACAGAGCAGACATTTTTGCATCATTGCTTCTTGCACGTGAGCATAGCATTAACTTGCTCTACTAATATTAAATATATTCCCTGAAATCTTACTGGACAACGTTTAACAGAGTTATAGTTTCCATTGTTATTTAGTCACTGGCAATGCAGTCCTGTCTTTTATTTTTGTTGATGGGCACAAGATTCCTGGGTTGTCTAAGACAACACTGAATTCCTTGAAACACAAAGATTTTACAGAAGGCTCTCTGTGATTACCTACATAACACTCTTGCACTTGATGAACATCTGTCAAGCCCACAAATAAAAACAGAACAGCACCATTTGCACCATCTCACAGCACCTAAGAGTATTAACACTGGTTTGTCTTTCAACTCTTTGTTGTAGTGGTGTAACTTGTTTATATGTAAGGTTTAAGGAGTTGCAGCACTAGATTACTGCAAGGCATAGCACTAATCTATACAGTCTACTAGAGCTGACAGTGTATTAGCACTTCTCCCTGCTGGCCAGGGAAATGTGGAGGGATGCATCAATGCTTCCATGTGTCCTGCTGGGTGACAGCAGTGAAACTGATCCACTGGGCTGTTTGCAACCTTTAATTGCAATTACACCAAAGTGAAAACAATCAATACAGCCTCCCACTACCCCATGCACCCCCCACCCCTCTCTCTCTCTCTCTCAGTCGAGCTTCCTCAGGAGCTCATTTTTCTTCTCATGTTTCCGTCCTCATTCTTCTCAGTCTGCTCATTTCTATAGATCTGGCAAAAAAATGTGCCTCATAGGCGGTGGAGTAATGCGGTCTATGGGGGCAGGGACAAAGTGGTGCAGCAGTAATGCTGCTTAAGAAAGATGATCTGCTGTAGTTACGAGTACTTGATTGATCCTTTGGAGTATTGTTCATCTATCTCTGTCCTACAGGGGCTGCTGCTACTTTAACCTTTAGCTTCCTGTTCCCTCTTCCGTCTGCTTTGGCCTCAGGTGCTGCCAGAGCGCCAGGTCCCAGGCCTTGGTTGAAGCAGTGATGGGGTCTACTGGAGTGGAAAAGGAGGCTGCTGCTCCAAGCTTCCTTCACAGAGTGATAGAGGGGAAAGGAGATTAAAAACTGACCTACCATATTGCTTCACACTGTGTGTTCTAACAATAGGGTCATTACACAGCCTTCAAAAGCTGAAACCAAAAACCATTAACTGAAGAATAAAGGTTCAACAATATCAAAATTAGAAGACACAGAGGATATCTCACAAAGAAACTACCAAACGCAGTTAGCATTAGCACACAAACTGATTAGCATATTTAAAAAGTGATGCAGTAAGTAAAAAACATTTATGGTTATTTATAGCCGTCAACTGTTTTTTTTAATTATTATTATTTTTAACAAGGAAATCTAATTATAATAACAAACAGTGAACAGGGCTTGTAAAGCTCTTTTGTAATGCATAGTTTTATTGCACTGCATGTTTATACCTGACACTGGTTGACGATATAATTACTCCCAGAGGGAAAGGAGAGGAAAAATATGTCAATTAGTGCATTTTCTAGACTGTCAGCTAGCTTGAATAAGTGTGCTGTGATAAGAGTAACTTTCGTTCGTTTCCAGACTAACATGTCACTACACAAATTGTCAAATTCTTTTGTGTCATTACCATTTTCTTTTGTTCTGTGTTTTGCTTTTAACAATACAAAGGA